AAAGTAGCGTAGAGACTAGCGAGGCCGTTTCGTCGACAGTGAACGAGGCTGACGATCAGATGGCAGTACAAAAGGCCGTACGTCGACCTGTGCCGAATTACGTTAGAAAGGCGTACATTGTTGAATGGCTGATGGACAAGCAACCGGCCGATCACCCGTACGTGTGTCGAACGTGTGACCAAGCCTTTGACGACTTTCTAACATTGATTTTGCATGTCAAGTCACACATTGGTCACGTTGAATTGCCCAACGGCGACACAACGGCCGCTGGAAAGTTATCGTCTTCGCCGCGACCACTAAGTCCAATGGAAGTAGAAGTCGCAGACGAAGAGAAAAATGAGGAAGCTGATAAGACGAGGACGGACGACGCTGTTGCTGTCTCGTCCAAAGAAAAAGGCGAAGAGGACACGACGGAGGCGGCAACGCACGATGAATCGTCGAGGGAGAAAGATGATCATATCGTCGTTTCTGAGGAGGCCACGTTGACCAAAAAGGAAATGACGGTGAACATACTGGAAATGCTGACCGGCTACAAGAAGAAGAAAGGCAAGTACCCGTGCGGTGTTTGTTACAAGAGGTTCGATAGTCCGTCTGACCTGAAGTTCCATCAGACGATCACACACCTGCCGTACAAGGACTATCGTTGCAAAGTGTGCCGCAAGCGATTCTGGACGTTGGACGGCTTGAATCAGCACAGCGACAGGCATGACCAGACGAAGTTCTACTGTAATTTCTGCGACAAGAAGTTCATTAACGCCGAAGCGGTGACGAAGCACGAAGGATATCACGAACTGTCGACATCTTTGTATCAGTGCGAGAGCTGTTCGGTGTCCTTTTATGGCTTGGTACAGTTGAAGCGGCATTTTAAAGAGCAACACGAAGGCGTACAGATCTTCATCTGTCCGGTTTGTGCCCACATTCACACTGACTACGCCAACCTGCGCAAACACATAAGGACCGACCACGCCGGGGTCACCGCCGTTTGTACGATCTGTCATAGGCGTTTCTCTTGCCCCCTATTGGCGCAGCAACATGCTCGCCGAATGCACATGCTGCGTAGCTCGTCTGAGAAGTGCACGTTTTGCGGAAAGATATTTTATGACCGATGGTCTTTGATGTTGCACGTTTGGCGTCATCTGACGTTGAAGAGCTTCCAGTGTCGTCTTTGCGACGCGCCGTTTGATACTGAACAAGAAACCGTCTCTCACATCACCGACATTCATCCAGCCGTGGCAGCTATAGGTTACCTGAGCCAGGAAACATCATCCTCGTCAGCGTTAACGAACGTCCTGGATACGTCTGACCGGCCAGAACCCAACGAGGCTTTGGGCAGTGCGGCGCAAGGGGCGACGGTTAAACCGTTTTTCAGCTGCTACCTGTGCTCCCGCATGTTCGCTCGCAAAGTCGAGGCCCGCCAGCACGTCAGTGAGCAACATGTGACTTACAGTGGTTTTTCCTGCGACCAGTGCAGCCGAAGCTTCGTTACACCTGACGTGTTGCAAAAACATCTGGAGTTGAGACACAACATTAAGACGATGAAGCCGACGGAAGGCGAAAAGTCGTCTGATGAGGAACCAGCTGTTATGGACACGGTTGTACCTTGCAACAGTGATATCAAGGAAGTCACAGACTCCTCCGTCGCTGCCGCTAGCGCCACTGTTGAGGAAGCTGGTCGTCCAGAAGCATCCGACCTCCAGATGCCGTCTTCAGACGCCGCTCAGATGTCCCAGATTTTGAACAGCAGCGCTAGCAATGGTAAGATAGTTTGCTATGCTTCTTTGTAATTTTTCCAAAATTGCAAGATGTTCTTGTTCATGCTTTGGTAGTTAGCTATACTTAAACAATTTAAGAACGGTTTATATTGCGACATCAAAGTAGTCAGCCTGTCGAATCTGTATCTTTGTACATACAACGAATCGTTTCTATATTAAGCTGCGTAGACTTAAGCCAAGAATATAACTGCCTCATCTAAGACGGTGCGAAACATCTGATGAAATTAAACAATTTAAAAAAAAACTATATTTAGTTAGTAGCTGTCTTTATTCTAATAATATTCAAGCAGTCCGTTATATCTGTAGCAGGTTTACCGATCAAATGCTAAGCGAACAACACCAGTGATCGTCTGTACAAATAGCGTCATTCGAAAGTCGACGAGCATGAGCTTGGACAACTTGAAGTTGCCACGAAGGATATTAAGGAAGTTGTTGTTTTGGATAAAGCCAGTATAGTGTGAAAGATCATAGATATTACAAACGGGCTACAGCTAGCTGGTTACGCGTAAATATCTCCTAGCCGCCGGAAGATATCCTCTGTATTGGAGAATATGAAATATAACCGTTATACACCTCAGTAAGTTGCAATCGTCTGACGATAACATAACTGCTGGACATAGCTAAAAACGCGATCCTTTAACTTAAAACTGTCTTTGGTAGAAATTTAAGACCTCCATGAACTTGATGATATCTAAGTCTGTGATAGAAGTCATATTAATTTTCATAGCCCTAATGAGGCATCTTAACCCTTGTTTAGCCGTAACCGAAATTAAATTCGTTAAATGTCGAAAATTAAAGAAGGACATAATACTCACGATGTGAACACACCAGAATGCCATGAATTGACTTAGTGCCTGTTTGTCGGTTGGTTGTGCCGAAGCAGCGTGGGGTTAATTCCGTGTTTAAATTAATTTGTTGTTAAGACAAAGATTGTGCCTTGACCAATTTGAACCCCCATCTCCGTTGAGAGCCGACTGCAATTGTACCAACACGCACCATAAATTTTACTATTTTTACCGTGGTTGAAAATTTATTGATGTCGTATGTCTTATGCTAATGAACGTCTGTGATCACTCCGCTCTCAGGCATCAATTTGCATTTTCCTTTTTCTATTGTATACAATAAAGAAAGTGGTATGAATGAGTCAATAGGATTCAGTTTAATTTGTTAGTTTTTTTAGTGCGTATAGCCTTTTTTTAGTGCACTGTTCGACTGCACCCTTTATTTTTTGTTTATCACACACGTTTTAATTGCTTAGACGAATGTTTTAAGTAGTAAACACTGGTGATACTTGTTGTTTAAGGAGCTACTATTTTACATGGTGTCAACACAGGCGAAGAGCAGATCGTGGAGTACTCGGGCGAAAGTGGCGCCGCATCATCGACGGTGGTCACCTCTGAACAGCAGTCTTATCAGGTATGCAGGGATAATTCACGTCTGAAACTCATAAATTGGCCGAGAGCAATAAGTGATAGTAAGCTCGAAAATAAACTATTTATTAATCACAAAGTTCTGGGAAATCTAGCAGACTGTTCATTTTATCACTCTAACAGTGATACTAATTTCGAGGAAAGAAAAATCTGCGCAAGCTGTATAATAATCGAAAAGAACAAAGGGGCAGAAAGAATGAGGGACTTTGTAAGTTACTGTACACAAGTTATTGAGATAGCTCAGCCCGCTGACTCATGCACCAGTAATCTTGGATCAGTTCAGAAATTCACCACTTCCAGGAATTATGCAGGTTCTGTGATGACTGATTGCGTAGAAGAAGCAAAGACGACTTACTGACAACAAACAGGTAGGACTCCCGTCCAACTTCTGGGATAAGGAATAAAGATCACAACAGGTTTTACAGAACCGCCAGGTAATCTGGAAGCTGGTGGTGGCTAGTAATCCAACTGCGCGAGATTAGATAGCTGCGATATGACCGCAGATGTTCTCGATCAGTGATAGGTGTGTGAGCAGAGTAAAGCCTCACTGACACCGCCTATAACTGTATTCTCTTATTCCCTGCTCCAAAGAAATAGATTAGATACGGACATCGAACTGACTCAGGCTGGGCAATGGTTTGTTGGCAGAGCCTTCCAAACGCTGCTCTCGCATCTTCGTTGTTGTTGTAGGTTATTTCTTTAATAATAAATTCCAAATTCCCGCTACGTGAAACTTTAGTGGATGATCTTGTCGTTCACACGTCGGTGCCATAGGCTTTTGTGAATGCCGATTCACGTATTATCAGACTTATGTAAGGACAACCTGGCCGTTTGATCATTAGTTCACTCGTAATAACTGTTATTCAGAGTTTCACATTCATCTACTTCTTTTACTAGGTATTTGTCATGGACAGTGCGGAGCAGGGCAGCGGTGAACACGTAGTGTTTCCAATTGATACTCAGGCCCAGATTCAACTAATTCAACTGCAGAACGCCACCGACGTCCCGCAGGTTACTTTGGCGTCGGACGACTGACCGACGTGCTTAATTTGTGAGTCGAACTGAGACGTTGTATTTTCAGGTAAATGAAAATGAGGCGATCCAGTTATTCCAAGTCGATGAAAACAGTTATAAACAGTTTATTAATCAGTAGCGAAAATCTTTCCAAATATGTGCAGCTGTATGATATAAAAATGTGTCAATAAAGTTTGTAGCTACAAACTACAGTTACTGGCTAACTGACCAAACAGACGGAATCATATGCATAAAACAAGGTAAATAATTGTGCTACTGTTGCGCATGCTAACAATGCGCTAGTGGTTCTTTTCTGTGCTTGCGTTTGATCAAAGATCAGCTTAAAAAACAAGCGGTTATTTATTTACCACCAAAATGTCGGAAAATGGATTTAATATTTACCGTATTGTCCGCAGTCCGGTTGGCCACGGACCCTAGACTGGTCAAATTCCCGTCCCCATTTGTCAACGCACCAGCAGAATCCCTCGTGGCACTGCTTGAATTTGTAAAATCCGTCCACGTCACACTCCGGTGTGAAAGCGCCTAAGACGAGCACAATGGTTAAGGTACTAAAACTAATTAGGTTACGATTTACTTACCTAAAATATGAGGATCGTGTAGTCGTCTGGCTGAGTGGCAGGGCGGCTCTTCTTTTTCTACAAATTGACCGGGTTACAGGTAAATTAAGTGGGCTGTGCGCACGCTACTAATGTAGCACACCTTTGCCTGCCCATTTAAAGCAGTCGCACCATTCGTCCAGCGACAACTTCTGATCGTTATTCAGATCACATCGATCAAGGAATGGTTCAATGCAATCCTTAGAGCCTCGACGCTCCAATTTGCTTAGCTCTTCTAGCGTGATGGCTTCATTTGAATTTCCATCGAGTTTGGCGAACATCCAAATCGCGTCTTGATTGCATGCTATGTTGTGCTCTGAAAAATATTCTTCGTTTTAAATGCTAAGTTATCGTATAGTTAATGAATGCCAAGTTATCGTATAGTAACAGTTTTATAGTATAAAGTTTTAACTATTCATTACAGATAGCTTGCTGATTTATGGTTGGGGGTAGGGCACGGAACCGTAGATTTTAACATTATTGCCGGCGTGTTTCACTGCGCATGCCGTAGCATCACCAAGGTAGAACTTATCTATGGACAGCTAGTTGCTTTATATACAAAATATGCACACCTCAATGTAAAGTGAGTGACAGATTAAAACCAGGTATCAAGCC